CTCCATGAACCCCCCGTCCCCAACCCAGAAAAAAAGGAGAACCCGCCCCCAGAGTACTTAACACACACACACACACACACACACACACACACACACACACACACACACATACACACACACACATACACGAGGTGACACGGCTCTCACTCTCACGGAGCACAAAAAAACGAGCACACCATGGGATCGCTGGGTGGTACTATGTGGGCTAGGTGGTATTATGCGGACTGGGTGGCCTGGTTTGCAGGGTGCTATAAGGGGTGGGTCAAACTATGTGGACTGGATGGTACTATGTGGCCAGGGAGGTACAATGCGAGCTAGGTGGGTGATGCTTTGTCACTTTGTGCGCTGAGTGGGGCAATGTGGCATATGTGAGTGTTAACTAAGCACACCACTGAGAGAGGCAACTACAGTTCAGACGAAATCAGCACAATGCATCCACAGCCTCAGAGAAATTTCCAATGCACAATCAAGGACGGATACTGTCCACCAGTTTGCTCATGGTTTGCACTGGATACCATCTCCCTACTCAGGCTACTACGCTCCCTCCCCCACCCCCGCCAAAAGATCTGTTGATCATTGCCTCCCATGAAAACAACCCAACATCCTCTCTCTCTCTCTCTCTCTCTCTCTCTCTCTCTCTCTCTCTCTCTCTCTCTCCACCAAGGCAAAAAAGAGAAGAACTCCTAAAAGAGGAACCCACCCCCAAAAGAGAGAGCAGCTATGCACTTGAAAAACACACGGACACCACTCACGCTGGGCGTGAGGTACTACGCACGGTAGGTGGCTGACGCTACATGGGCATGGGCTGGGTGGTACAAAATTGTGAAGCTATGTGAGCTGAGCTCCGGGACACAACCCCTCCCCTGCGCTCTCCCTCAAAAAAAGAACCTAAGAGAACGTGCGCTACAGAGGGAGAACCCCAACGTCTTTCATGTGTTGAAAGTCATTTCCTGCCTACTTGTATTCTGCGTGTTTCAGGTTGTACTTGTAATTTTCATTTTCCCTGCGAAGGTGTATTTTTTTTTCTCAGTGTGTACTTGTACCAAATCCGAAGAAGACCAAAGCTATGGCCCGTGTATCTTTCCATGTTCTACCTGAAATAACATCTTCCGTATTGCACATTTGGTAAGTAGTGTGGCCACTGGCCAGGCCCTCCATGACAATTTAAGCTCATGACGTGCTTACTCACAGTTGCATGTGCAATGTCCATCCCCACAATCAGGGAGGATCCCCCCTGCCCCTCTTTTCCCACAATCCACTTCAAAAAACTCAGGGATGAAGAAGAAGACGCCATCACCACAATGAGGGAGGATCCCCCTTACCCCTTCTTTTCCCATACTCTTTCTTATGCAGAACTGACCTATCAGCCTGTGTCAGCCCCTCTCTGCACAGATAGTATGTATGGCACAGTATGGGTGGGCCCCGCCACGGCCGAGGGGATAGGGGGTTGGGGGTGGGGGTTTCGGAATGGGGTACCGGACCCCGACCCTACCTCCTTGAACCAGAAAAAAATTAGAAAAATAATTTTCAAGGGGGTCGGTTTTGGTGTGTGAAAAAAAAAAATAAAAAAAATCTTGATTGCTTGATTGTTTTTTGATTGATTGATTGATTGATTGACTGATTGATTGATCCATCGGTTGGTTGATTGATTGATTGATTGACTGATTGAATGACTGGGTGCTGGAGGAGGTGCTCCCAACCCTCCCCTCGGCACACACACACACACACACACACACACACACACACGCACGCATACAGGTCAGGAGAGCCTGTGACGAACCACTTTCTGAAATCGCGCGACTTTCTGCGTGAAGCTACTTGGGGGAATGCGACGGGTCGAAGGGGTGAGCCGTGGAAAGATGGCTCGGGGGGGCTAGTTGCATGGATGCCCTCATTTCTTTTCGTTTTCTGTTGAAAGTTGCTGGATCGGTGTCGGGGAAGTCCCGTACCAACGGTTGGGTGGCCGCGCCATGACGGGCGCGAGAGATAACTGTACCATAGCTTCTTTCTTGTTCTGCTGTGAGCACTGGGGATTTTTTGCGCGATCATCGCGCGGGAATATCATTTTTGAATTTTCAACTGACAGGCTCGCGGAATTGTTTTTCTTTCTTCCTTTTCGGAATTTCTTTTTGCAATTAGGACTTTGGATAGGAATTTAGGTACTCTGAATTTTGCCGCGCCACGCTTGCGCGCATCTTGCTGCGTTGGCAACTGGGCTCTGACTAGATCGCGCACTTAATCTTGTGCAACTGTCGTTTTTGGCGGGCGCGATTGCAACTGTATCTTTCTTCTTTGTTGGGTTCCCTCATGTTTACCCGCGTTCTCCTTCTTCCTCGCCACGCATACTCTGTTCTAATTGGCCGGAGCGTCTGCATGACCGGATCGATGCGTGGAGTGTGGCTACGACCCCCACGCCGCGGCCTGGCCATGCAGGCGTAGGCACTTCCTCTTTTCTCCTCTTGTCCACCTGAGCTTAATCCCGTACGCTTCGCGTGGGCATGCGTGCCATAAATTTCGCAAACACGATTAGTTGTCCCTCTCGAAGAATTTCAAGGTCA